AGCATTAATCACTACAAAATTACATAAGAATTGCAGACTCGGTTTGATTGAGTCTGTACATGAGGGATAATGAACAAGTGCAAAAAGTTTTTATTCATACTGAAAATACCGTATTAAAGATTGTACATATGTGCTACGGATAAGTATTTTCTTGATTTCGGAAAGGAAATCTCGGTGGCCGCTTTAAAATCCTATTTTTGCAAATACTTGCATAGTTTTTGTTGAAAGTGAAATTTGTGCCAATACATTTTTCAATGATACCAATAAGAGTATTGGATGTTTTTACATTATCAATAAAATTACTCCCTTGAAGTTGGTCATTGTTTCCCCTAAAAATTTCCAAATCGCCGATGTTTCTCAGGAATATATGATAAACAAGATCAACAAGGAAAGGCGGCGCTCAATGAACGCAACCCTACATGACCCAGCAACAAGAACAAGTGGCAAGAAGCCCAGGCGGTCCCCAAACAAAACACATGGCCAGGGCACTAGGCATAGCACGGACAGGCTAATCACTAAAATGATAAATAATTTGTAACTGATAAGAACACGATGTTAAATAATAAGGTAATGCACAAGTTATCTTCATCATAAATGGTAAAATCAGCAATTTTCAAGTGATGTTGCTAGTGACAAAACTTTTGTAACAAATGCAACATATATATGTTATGAAAAATGCCGTATGTTGTCCTTCAGTTTTATTTAAAAATATGGGAGAGGCGCCGTTTTATACCTGTCCGCAATAGAAGGTCGTAAATACTCCGAGAGGGGCGGGGCGTTATGCTTGACTTAAAATCGTTTAACTTTGTGAATCTACTTTTGTCATTTTAAACATGTAACTGTGTTAACGTACTCTTGTAGTTCTACAACTGGTAACACGTTTTCTTAAACTCTATTTTCCGTATTCGAGTTTTACATTTCATTTGTATATTACAGATCTATAAGTGTGCAAACATGCGTATGTTTTGCATGCAATGGAAGATACGAACTTGTAAATTTGTTGTCGTTTTAGATGTTAGGTCAGTTGTTACGATATATATGTAAACTTGTTATATAAAGGCGGTAACCTTCAATTAAAAGATTGAATTAAAAGGCATACAATAAAAATGGTAGGCATACAAGTTCGCATTTTCAAAAGTCATTTTAAAAAGGAACACTTTACATGTCTGGAATTTTGGCAACGATCGCCCTCCATAACCGGATGCTAACTGTTATCTTAAAGAAATAGTTATAATATTTATAACAATAATGTCTGCACATTAATTTTTAGAAATGGTTACAATAGTTATAACAGTCTGTGATTCTAATGCGGTAGCAGACGATTTGTTTAACGATCGGTTACAAGGACCGTTTTTGATGTATATTATTATAATAGACCTAATAATTTCAGATTCAGCCAACTATTCACAAGTAATTCTGTCATACAACCTAACTGAAGAATTCAGTCGCGTAAATTTATAACTTCTATACAGTATTAAACTGTTAAACATGTAATATGTTAAACTGCTTTAAAGCTACTTATTTGTAAAAGGTTCTATTAGAATTGTAAATATGAAAATATAGGTAATGAAATACTTACGATACCTAAATTAATCAATTAATTCACATCAGGTCCATTTCTTTTCACTAATTTTCATTATGATCAGCTCTTGCCTTAGTATTTTATTCACAGTAGTTTATAAATATCACCGATCCGCCTAAACCTCCATACCTATAATCCGTTTCAAAATTGACCAATTTTGTTAAACAATCGCCAAAATATGTGTACATTTACCCCAAATCCGACCGCTTTGTAATGATATGATGTCCAAATAATAGAAAATATTGATAGTATTCCTTCAGATGCTCAGTCGGCATGTCACTTATTATATATTTACAAACTTTGCTTTGTATACTATAAAACATGTTGCAAGAGTTAAGGAAGTGTTGTTCTGTTCTATCTTATTAAGTTTTATTAATAATTATTATTCATTTTTAAAGGATATGTTAATGTTCTTAAAATATTAATTACAATAGGTTTTTATCACATAAAATGTCTGATTTATTGTTATTGACACGCGTATCAGCTCTCGTTTGTTAGAAACTATTTGAGGAATGTTTAGTTTTGTTTTAACAATACAATTTACTGTGCAGGAACATATATTAAGCAATAAATAAAATTTTGTTTTGTTTTAAAACAAATCTTAGTAATGGTTTCGGTTAAACATGTTATATGTAAATAACACTTTAACTATTGGCAACAGCTGAACAATACAAATCCACAATTCAAAACACATTTGAGATGTATAACAATTGTAATACCTAAGTATGTATTTACATTGTTTACATTTCCGAATCGCCTTAACTCGCATTCTAAAGTGTAAACATTAAAAACAACAAAATAAACAGCTTGCACCAAAGTTTTATAATGCTAATGTTTGTACACAACATTTTCCAAAAAAATAGAGATGAAAATAGGCATTTTTGACAGCATTATTGTCTGTCCTCCACCTACAATTTCTAATAAAATAAATTGATTATAAATAAATAGATAAAATACACACACGCACACAAACATTTCCCCAAAACTTTGGATTTGATTTGGACAAACAAAACATTAAAATGTGTATAAATGATTACAGTTGAATGCATTAGTAGGCAGGCTACAGGAGCAAAAAAAAAACTTAAAATGAAATATTCTCAAAAACAACAATGCCTAGAATTAAGATGTTTGACATCAACTTGTGCTCTGCTAACTTAAATAACTCATACTTATTTGATCAAAATATTGCCCACCCTATAGATCACTTCATTTATTATGCCAATATACATGGAACTAAAATGCACAGAGCTCAGATATTTGGCATTATCAATTATTAAAATCGCTAAAAAATTTATGTAAAGCAAACCTCTGACGTAAAACTTGGTTCTCAACCAGGTCTCACGAAATTTATGTAGACATTTAAAGTGAAATATCACAAAGGACTGTTCAAAACCTTCAATGTCTATGTCTTAAATATTAGGTATGTAGGATGATCTAGCGATCCCGAACAAAATTGATATAAATCATGCTCTTGTTGTAGTTTAAAGAGAAGTGAATCGGAATATACATTTAAGTCTTCTTAGAATTTGGAAAACTTCAATTTCAAGAGAAGGCTTAGATATTTGGCATGACGCATTGCCAAGTTGATTTGTACAAAATTATATAATTTTGCCTCTACGGTAACAATACACTTTCTTGAGGGTTTGTTTAAAATGATTTGTCAAGTAAAAGTCTTTTTCAAGAAGAACCATTATCTTTATATTTGGCATGTACCTAGTCATTTTCGACAAAAGTTAAAAATAAATCATGCCTCTAAGGTCAAAACTGGTCCGATTCCGGAGAGAATTTCATTTGTATTTAAATATCATACAAAAAAGTTTTGTTTTAAAACAACAATTATATGACAATAAATTACATATATGATGGGTAGTGTTGCCTAGTTTGATCTCTTCAAGAAGATAATATGATGCCTCTAGGGTCAAAAATGGGCGAGCGTTTAATTTGGTTCATTTAATTTATACAATTTAAACGTGTCTTGACAAGCTTCTGCTCTGGAAGTATAATGATTGGAGCTAAGCTATTTTGCACAAAGAATCACCGTGTGGTCCTCTACAGGTGTTATATAAACCTTCTGGGATGAAAAGTGGCCGAAACCCGGGGGTGACTTAATATAAGCTTGTTTAAAGAAATACATCAAAGTCTTCTGTCGTATTACTTCATTACAAATAGTTTTTGCATTTAGTATTGCCTTGTTGATCTTTATGAAAGTGAAATTAGTAATGGCAATGAGGTTTATAAATAGCTTGCTGTTGGGGGTCATTTATTTTACTTAGGTTTCACCTTGTTGTCCACTATAAAATTAAATAAATCATGTCTCCAACCCTCGGTTCAAATGTGGATGTTGCTTCCTGAAGGGTCACTAAGTGTATAGATGTATAGAACGTACTAGCTCAATATGTTTAATTAATTATGTGAAAATACAATGCCAAGAGGCTTAGAGTCAGGAATCATTTTGCAAAATATATATTTAAGTAATATAAAGAAACAAAAACATGTAGTCTGTTTAAAAACGACAAACCAAGTGTGACTGACATTTGACATTGAACAGTCAATTAAATTTAGCGTGCTTTGACAATATGTAACTCTCTTTTGAGATGCAGGGTCATCATAAGCAGCTCGTTGTTCCTTTTTGTTAGTGTACGTGTTTGTGCGAATGTGCGTGCGTGTGTGTGCGTGCTTGTGTATTTGAGTACGTATTTTAGTTTATACGGGTAAAGAAGTGCGGAACACTGGTTTGATTGACTTACAACCGCTAAAACAATAATTGGAATATGGTCTGTTGTAAAACAGTATCAAACACAAACAATGATAGACGCTAAATTATGAAGTTGATATTTCTGTTTCTGTTTTTATATTAAATCTACTTCAAAGCATTATTGTTGTCGCCGTTTAAAAAGATAAAGTATAAGAATAAAAAGATTGCATCCTTTGAAAATTTATAAATAACAACATAACATGATCGATACAAATCACTTTACCGGTCACAAATATACATGGTAATAAATAAAAATAATGTATAATCAAAGCCAGAAAGATAAAAATTAAACCATAAGGAAATAATTGCATTGGATCTAGATATATATGTTATGTTTACATGGTATGTCAAAGAATAAGAAGTGAGGCGGATATTGAGTGGTATTGCATTTTTTAAAAATTTTCAATGAAGCAAATTGTGTGTTCATCATAACGCGTGAAGTGTAAAGCAAATTTTTATTTGCGAATGTTAAAGCTGGCAAATATGCCCTAGTTCTGAGTATAAGATAATTTTGTAGAAGCTTTATAGATTGATTTATATTTGTCATGTACAAAAGTTGTATCAAGATATATGTTGTTTTAATTTGTCCTGAATAATAATCAACTTAAATCAATAAACTTAAATATATTTTTTAACACTGTAACACTTCAGCGGTATAGACACTGAAGAAGCATTCCTTTTTGTGCAGGGATTGTGAGATATAAACTATGGAAGACTCCAGAGAAGAAAGCTTAGAAGTAAGAATCACTTGTTTTCGACAATGATTTTATAACAGTAATGTTATTACATATTAACACACACCACACTTCGGTCCTAATGTTCAATAAGGGAAAAATGAGGGTCGTGTTGTGTTAGAATTTGGAATAACCACAATTTATGCCTATGCCTGTCATTTCGTACAAAACCATTAACAATAAATATTTTAAAGCTAAATCTCGTTCCTATTCCTCTACTTGAATTCATGTTTATTATTTATAAATTTAGTGCTGCCCTAGATTGAATTATGGTAGGATAAACTTGTGATGCCTTACAGTTTTTTTTAATGCATTATTTTCAGGATGGATGGGAGAAGAGATATGATACTATCCATGGTCGTGTATTTTATGTTCACCCTAGTAAGTTTTATCTTTTATCTTATCCCGATCATTTCCGTTAACGTAAAGTATGACATCTCTTTTTGTTTCATAGACGTTAAGCATGTTCTAAGGCGTATGTTTTAATACACACACAAACGTATAAATCTAAGGGTAATTAATTAATATCGTACCTTTCAGCTGCTAGGTATTTTATGTTATAAGTTATTTTAAAATCCTTCAATGCCTGACAAAGTTACAGCCCGGACACGAATGTGTGTACCTTTAAACTTTAATTGTGCTTAAGTGAACTTCAACATGGTAGTGTGACCTTGATCTTTGAGAAAGGGACGTTATTATTAAACGCGACACATCGTCTTGATGTTGTGGACATTTATGCTAAGTTATTTAAAAATCCTTCCATGCATGACAAAGTTACAGCCCGGACACGATTGTGTGTACCTATTAATTCTAAATGTGATGTGAAACTTCCAGATGTTAGTGTCACATTGACCTTTGTGGTAGAGTCGTAATTCTTAGACGCGACACATTGTCTTGATGTGGAAGACATAATGCCAAGTTATTTTAAAATCATTCGATGCATGACCAATGTGTGAACCTATTGACTCTCATTACAATAATGTAAAACTTCAAAACGATAGTGTGACATTGACCTTTGAGGTCGGGACGTGGTTATTGGACGCCACACATCGTCTTGATGTGGTAGACATTTGTGCCAAGTTATTTCAAAATCCCTTAATGTATAACAAAGTTACAGTCCGACACGAATGAAGTGGGGACGCACAGACGGACCTACGGACGGACGGATACCCGGACGGACAGACATACGGTGCGATTATATTATGCCTGCCTTCGGGGGCATAAAAAACCCCAACAACATCGCAATCATGTTTAACAAGAGTCGAGAGCGTTTAAGTTGACTTTCATCAATGTCAACATGGGAGCCAATATGTAGTGGTGGGGTTTATGTCAATCCAACACGCAATGAGGTTTAGATGTATTTATTTAATAACGAATTAAACCTGCAACAAATGAATAACAATAAGACATCACTTACGTAACACATATTTAACAAGACAAATGCATTTCACAAAATACATAGTACAACATATTACACAACATATATTTATTTGTGAAATTGTTTATAATGTATAAAGGCTTGATAGAAGAGAGAAGAGTTTAATAATTAATAAAAATAAAAAGCAATTATTTCTGTAGAGAAATTACTGAAAAACAGTGAAGGATTAATGTTGTCACTTCAAAAACGAGTCATGGAGTAAAAATTGTTACATTCCAGAACCAAATCATCTAAAAATAACTTGCATACCAAAATCAATCATCCATCACATAACTTGCAAAACCAGTTCAATCACCCATAACAAATGGACAAAAGACGAACATGAACACATAACACCACAAAATATTTGTTCTGGCCTTTAAGGAAATTACTACCGTATTTATTATAAAAAGAGAACTCAAGACTATTTTAACCTTATCTACATTTATTTTAATTCTATAAAAGGTAGCTAAATAACACGCCAGTTTTTGCATCATTTTGCGTCTTTTCTTTAGAAAAAAGGCTGGCCCAGTTGGAAGATCCAAAAGAATCTGGTGTCCAAACCAAAAAAGTATGTTAACTTAAATATATGAACTAAAATAATTTTCCACAATACATGATGTTTTAGTTGTTGTCAGTGTTGTTGTTGTTTAAATATAGTAAGGAGTAAAGTCGAAAGAAAAAAAATGTCAGTGAACCTTAGGTTTTTTAAATTCAACAACACTTAAATATTCTTTGTATTTAATTCGTAACTACAATACACGAGATAGCAACTCTACATACCCAACATTTAAACTGTATATAAATGACCCAGTATCTAGCATGCATCCACACATCCGCATAGGATGTCCTCTTAATTAATATAATCATGTGATCATACCTATATACAATTATAAACACATATTCATGGCATTATCTTGAGTATTATTTTGACCATCCGGAAAATTGACAATTACGATATTAATTTTAAGTATGGCAAGGACTGGATCAACGTCATTGAAGCGGATGCCCCTCTTGACGATTTCCCGTGAGTATTAAATAATTTCTTTTTTTACAGATTAACAACCAAAAAAGAGAAAACATTGAATTAATAATACTTACAAAAAGCTACAGATAAAGTCTTTTTTTTACAAGGACATAAACTGTAACCATTTCATTTCCAGCTAAGGAGTGAAATCTAAAGACAACCAATATAGAGTTCTACTCATTTCCGCGTATTTTCCGTTTATTTTCATGTAGCTCTAACATTTCCGTATTAAGACATCTTAAATAGATACATATCACAGATTCAAATTATATATGCTGTGTTGAACGAACTCGGAAATTCAAATTCCAGGTGGTTCCATGGAAATATTTCTTATGCTAAATCAGAGAAACTTCTGAAATATCAGGAAAATGGAACCTTTCTCGTACGACGAAGTCAATCACATCCAGATTGGCTTGTTCTTGTTGTAAAAAGACCAACGCTTGGAAAACAAGCACTCCAGTTTCAAATCAAGTACACAAATCCTGGTGAATATTTTCAAATTGAGAGGGATGATAATATTTTCTTTAGTATACCAAAACTTATAGAAGTAAGTAAGATAAAATTGTAAATTTCTATTGCTTTTAAGTTCTTTTAAGCATGAACATTTTCCTTTGCTAAAATAAGTGCCAGTGTTGCATTTCCTGTATACACATTTGATATACATGAAATGAGAAGCAATAACCAGTTTTGTTTGTTTATAAAAAGACATATTGATTAGTAATAATATTCATTTGGATATTACTTAGTATTATAGCATAAAATGTTATTTTCAATTTACATGCTTAATTGTTTGAACTAAGAAACAGCATATATATATTGTTTTATAATATTTATAATATATATGTTTTAACATCATAGCAAAGCTTTCCACGTGATTATAGTTTAGCGCGGAGGAAGGTTGTCTAGTACTGGTGTAACTCTCCAGGAACAATGGTTAGGAAACTACCCGCCTATATGACTGAAATAGTGTTGGGAAAAGGCGTAAAATGAAACAAACAAACAAAATCCACATGATTAACAATAACTTATGACGGAAAATCACTACTAAATAGAAGATGCATCATTAAAGCGTTAGCGTGATAAGCGTTATATTCCTATGAAATATCCAAGACCACTTGCTTTATAATGCAAAAGCTGGTATGAATATATGCGCTAAATTATTTATTTGATCATTATTTCGTTTCAGTATTACACTAACCATACCATTCTCAATTTTGGTATAAAATTAACCGCACCATTAGACAAACACGAAATGAACGAAACGAAAAGCAATGGTGAGTCGCCATTTATAGCTAATCAGAGATGCAGATTCAGGTTGAGCTATTAGTATCAAAGGGGGTACTCGGGGTCCGTCGTCATGTGTAAACAATCATCTTCTATTCTGCAAATAATGGGCAGATTTACCTCAAATTTGGTCTGTAGCATCCTTGTGACAGTCACACTTAAATTTGCTCATGTCATTTCAATTGGACCCTTTTAAGAGTCAACAGAGCTAAAGATAGAAAAACCTTAAAACATCTTCTACTACTAAATTAAATTATGGATGATCACCAACATTTGTTTGTAGCATTCTTAGGGGTTTCTAGACTTAAAAAAAGAAACGCCTTTAGAAATCTCCTTGTGCAGAACTTCAGTAAGTGATGGATGATCACCAAACTCTGTCTGTAGCATTCTTAGGTAGTATTTAATCAAGTTTGCTCATATTAATTTGGTTGGCTACTTTTTGGTTCCGCTAAAGCTAAAAAAGAAAAACATTTGAACATCATCTCCTAAAGAATTATTGATGCATGATCACCAAATTTTGTCTGTAGCATTCTTAAGTAATGCCTTATGAAGTTTGCTCATATTAATTTGATTGGCCCCTTTCAGGTGCCGATAAAGCTAGAATAAGAAATACCTTTGAAGGTCTCCTTCCACAGAACTAATTGATGGATGATCACCAATTTTGTCTGTAGCATTCTTAGGTAGTATTTTATCAGGTTTGCTCATATTAATTTGGTTGGCCCCTTTTAGGGGCCGCTAAAGCTTAAATTAGACATATTTGAACATCATCTCCTACTGAATTATTGATGGATTATCACCAAATTATGTCTGTAGCATTCCGAGGTAGTCTTTTATCAAGTTTGCTCATATTAATTTGATTGGCCTCTTCTAGGGACTGCTTAAGCTAAAATCAGAAATACTTTTAAACGTCTCCTTCTACAAAACTAATCGATGGATGATCACCAAATTTTGTCAGTAGCATTCTTAGGTAGTCTTTTATCAAGTTTGCTAATATTAATTTGATTGGCCCTTTTAGGGGTTGCTTAAGTTAAAAATAGAAAAACCTTTGAACATCAACTCCTTTTGAAATAAATGACGGATGATCATTTAACTTTGTTTGTAGCAGTCGCAGGTTGTCTTTTCACAAGTTTGCTCATATTAATTTGATTTGCCCCTTTTAGGGGCCGATACAGCTAAACGTAGAAACACCTTTGAACATCATCTCCTACTGAAATAGTTTATGGTTGATCACAAAATTTTGTCTGTAGTATTCTTAGGTAGTCTTTTATCACATTTGCTCGTATCAATTTGATTTGCCCCATTTATGGGCCGCTAAAGCTGTAATTAGAAAAACATTTGAACATCATCTCCAACTGAAATGATTGATGGATGATCACCAAACTTTGTCTGTAGCATTATTAGGGGCGTCTTTTATCTTCTACTGAAAAGCAGTTGTTTCTGGTGAACGACTCAGGACTCATGGCCCTTTTGTAAATATTGTTTGATGCTTCTTTAGACTTAATTTGTATCCTACATGCAACCTTTCCAATTTTTCCGTACTGCAAAGTTTAGAATTACAATTAACAGATCTTATTTTCCTAAATGTCTGATGGCATTTTAAAAAAGGGCCCAAAAAATCTACAAAATTTATGTAGATTGAGTACCTTAATATATTAACCTTCCCCTAGTTGTCTTGGATATTGATTGATATTTTAAGTTCGCCATTAAAATGCAAACGCTGAAAAAGATATTTTGTTTGAATGGGCTAAGTTTTAACACATGTAACGAAAAAATGGTAGTTTAATGTTTGTTTTTTTATAGAAAATACAGTACCAGATGAGCTTTCAAATGATCCAAAAACAAGAGAACTCTATGAAAAAGCATTAGAGAAAGGGACAGAAAATGATAACACAATACGAGTTATGGTTATTGGTTGTTGCGAGCAAGGCAAAACGTCATTAGTAAGGCGTTTATTGAAAAAGTCAGTTGAAGGAGTTGAAACAACCAACGGTATTGACTTGCATAAATGCACAGTTATCAGCGAAAATGAATGGAAGAAGTTAGACAATGAAGATCTTGACGAAGAAACTGTTCAGCGCTTGGTCAATATTGCACTAAGAGAAAGAACGTACGAGACATTTGCATCGGTTACTCATGGGGAAAAAGGACTGCTTAACAAAGATGAAGAAGCACCCACTTCAGTTACGGATATATCAAGAACAAGAGATAAAAACAAAATTTGTTCAGCACGTGGTCTCGAAATAATTGATATATCTGATGAGTACAATGGCAAAAGAAGAGAAAACGTTAAAGAAAACAAAACTAAAATTGCTGGCGCTGTTGATATTTATGTTAGAAATAAAACAGTCAATTACGAAAATTTAAATTCATTTCAGACTGAATTAAAACGAGTTGAATCCATTGAGGCGGCAATAAACCTTGACAACAATGTTACGCTAAATATATGGGACTTCGGAGGACAGTTTGTCTATTATGCTACCCATCAAATATTTCATTCAAAACATGCTGTTTATGTGCTAGTGTTTAATTTAAGCATATCCCTGGACACAATAATTGAAGATAAGGAGTTCCCATTACATCAAAAGAGAATGAGGGACTATTTAAAATTCTGGGTGGCTTCTGTAAATTCATTTGTTGGCAGTAGGGATGGAATGGAACCGGCTATTATTTTAGTAGGAACCCACACGGACAAACTAAATATGGACAGTAAGGTCGAGGACTATTTTGAGGAGGTCAGGCAAATATTTGACGACAGTGTATGTCTTAATCATATTCAACCTGATCAATTTGCTATTTCAAATACAAGTGAGTCAGAAAGCGAAATTGATGCTTTACGGTCGTATATAACACGTTTAGGAAAAATACAAATGAAAACAAGAATTCCGGCTAAATGGATTCTACTTGAGAAAGCACTTAAAATGAACAAACACAAAAGAATTATAAAACTTGATGAACTTATAGAAATAGACAGTCTCAACAGGCACTATCCAAAACAACAACAACAACAACTGCAAGGCGAGACACGTATTTATTGGTACACAACTGAGGAGTAAACATTCGTTATTACAATAATACTTTTCTATTACAATATAATTCTATAACTCAAGAATTAATCACTCATTAATCATGTGTATTCTATTAGATAAATATAAGCATGCTACAATCGAAAATGCGATTTGCGTCATGTTAATAATCTGATAAAACCTCTAAAGCAAAGCCAGAATGTTTTCAATCATGACGGAAATCGAAAATTCAAACGTATATTTCTTCATCAGAATACGGGCCGCCCACGAAAAACCCCCTATCTTTTCTTTTCATTATTTTTTAAAAACAGGAGGAAACGTGTTTCCGTAGCCTAGTCAATGCGTTAACATTGAAATGCCCCGACTATTCCTAGAAATACTGAACAACGGAAACAGTTCAGACATGCCTCTTAATTAAACAAATAAAAGCATATATAAACATCATTTTGCACAAATGTTATTGAATTTTAATGTAGTTAACGACGTGTACCAAGCGAGAGTCTCTGTAGAACTGACCACTAATCGTACGTACGCACGGTCAATAACTCTTATCACGTGACCAAACTGGTTATACCAGTTTTGATATCGCACCTGTTGAGACAACAGTTCTCCGTCTATACGATGTAACGCGGAGAACTACATGTCTCAACAGGCACTATCCAAAACAACAACAACAACAACTGCAAGGCGAGACACGTATAGAAATTACAAAGCTTGAGACGAAAAACATTAAAATTCAATTAATTATTCATATGTTTATAAAAAAGTATCTATAAAATACTTATAACTTTAACTTTTTTGTAATTGACAATCGACTGCCTAATGAATCAACAATATAACCGTCCTTAGCTATATCAGTTTTCCAACGGCCATGTCTCTTTAAACATCTATCAGACACACCTGAGTTAGCGGCCACCGTAACTCCACTAGCTCTCAGAGAATGTGTACCTAAATTTAAATTTGGTGCTACTAACTTTAATTTAGACAAAATGCATTCCCTAACTCGTGTGTAAGACAACTTTTTATTACTTTTTATAAGCGCCGATACCCCCTTTGACCTAAAACATGGCCTAAACAAAAATTCATTACAGGTTACGTCAAGACAAGCTGCCCTCATATATTTTTTAAGCATATTAAAAGGACATGCATTAGTAGTACCCTTACAAATCGGAACAGATTTTCCTTGCCTATACACATCAGTTTTGCTCTTACGAATGTTTATCACTAAGTGATCATCATTGAATGTTATATCTGAACAAATTAAAGAATTCAGTTCGTTGAAACGTAAAAACCCAGCGAAACCTAAAAGAATAATTGACAGATCTCTTAAGGTTACCACGTCGCTGGAATCTGAAAAATTATCACATAATGTTTGTAACATTTCCGAATCTATTGTATCTTTCTTTTTAACAGGTTCATAGCATTCTCGTTTACTTGTTTCCAATAAATGTTTAACCATTGAATTCGTAGTAGGATCCACATAATCATGCAAAGAATGCATCCATTTAATAGAATATACGGTAGAAGAAATAACACCGTACGACTTTCCGTGATCTAACATGTTTGTTAAATACATTGCTACAACTATAGATGAAGCTGGCTTGGAAACAAAACCATTTTTGACACAATATTTTTCGAAATGTTTGAAATAGTTCATATATTTCTGTCTAGTAGAAACTGCCCGGGATTGTACAATATAACCTGCCATGTGATCAATAACAGTTTGATGTTTTTGAATGTCCACTCCTGCGTTGTTCATCATGCTCCTGATTGAAGGTTTTAAGTCAACACCTATAATCGAAATGACAAATATCATAAACTTCATAAAATACTGTAAAATAGAATACAGTACATGTCTCTATATTGGCACTCCAAACTAAAACCTGATCTTAAGTGCCAGCATACAAAACGCAATTGTGTGTGTGCAAACACGCCGTTATTACCTTTCGCAGTACGTATTATTCCATTTTTTGTAAAAACCTCTGCATTTCTTATGTAAGTTTTAAAATTACGTTTTGTATCAAACAAGCAAGGCCAAAAAAAAGCTGAAGATTTCCACTTTGGTATAATTAATGTGCAACTTTCATTTTCCTTTACAATTTTGTTTATACACTCTACTATTAGCCGAGTGGGGAACTAACCAATTATTATCATTTTCCAGGACTGATCCAAAGCATTTATAGCTTCCGTTCCTGGTACCCACCACTAAGAGTTAAACCTTTCACAATGAGTGTTATAATGAGTAGAAAACCTATCTATTGTGTGTATTACCCAAATACAATCAAAATATCTGAATCAACGATCTGATATTGACCAATCATCACAAACAAGACATCTACTCAAATAATCTGATATCTGATTATTGTCTCTAGGTATCCATTCCGGGCTAATATGGATATTATTTTCTTCACAAAAATCATTGAAACCTAAAGCAATTTTTTGAAGCTCTGCGTTAACACTGCCGTTCAAAAGAATCGATTTTACATTTTGATTATCAGAAAAAACTTTCACATTTTTGTTTTTGAGAAATTGTGCTTGACTTCTAACAACCCTATTCACTGCCTCAACCTCACGCCAAGAAGAACTTTTAATCTGTTCTTCAAAAAGCCAACTTCCAGTGACTTTCGTATCTATATCTATACTTTTCTTTGTATTATCTAGCATACATTTTTCCACTTCCGGGGAAACAGCTGAAGAAATCGGTGATTTCAACATAACATTCGACATGCAATCCACTTCCGGGGATAGCAATGTTCCACTCATTTGAATATTAGAATGTAATTGAGCTTCATTGCTCGGAAAATATAGGTAACCACCATAACCAGATCCACTGGCATCGCAAAATACGTGTATATCGTACACTTTCATTTCAGACATGTATTTACCTGATCCATTCAATTTTCTTACATTTTCTTTCCAGTACATAATTTCATGTATGGCTGATTCGCTCACTAAAACTGGCGAGTCCCAACTAGCCCTAGAGATGATACATTTATACATCTCTCTCGTTCTCAATCTCACTATGTTACCAAAGACAAATTGAAGAGAAATCAGACGTCCAACCAAAGACGCTAACACACGGACTGGTAGAACACTACACTTGTCACAACTTATCTGATGTAATTCAGACCCAATTGAGTTGTCTGTGACAGACATTCGTTCTTCTGTGACAAAAAACTTATTATGAAAAAAAAATTACAACCTAACCATGTGACTTTTTGACAGGAAAACCAATGACACTTTTCTTCCGCAAACAAAAAAACTATTATATAATATTTAATCAATGTACTTTTTACAAATGCACTACTTTCTAATGCTTCTCGGAAATTAATATGACCACCGATGCCATCGTCAAGATACATTATCACCTTATGACCTAATGACCTTAAGTACATGACCAATACTCGGACAGTTTTAGAAAAAATATGCCCTGCGCTAGCTATTCCAAATGGAAGTGAATTAAACACAAAATAAGTCTGTTGACCATTATAGATCCATGAAAAACCTAAATATTTCCTATGAGCTTGAAAAATATCGATGTGATGATAAGCTCCTTTCAAATCAAAAGTAAAAGCAAAAACCCCAGCACTAAATAGAGACTGAGCGACACGAACATCTTCAAACTTGATTTTGAATAGATGCAAAAACTGATTTACATGCCTACAATCTAAAACCAACCTTGCTTTTCCGGCCTTATTATAAGCCACAGTCAACGGATTTACAACTTCAGGCACGTGATCTACTACCGAAATAACATGTTTTTCTAGTAAACACTCTATTTCCGTCGTAACAAAAGACGGATTGTCTCTAGCGGACTTATTATTTTTAAGCATTACTTTACTAGGAATATTTCTAAATGGCAATTTGTAACCATTTTCTATAACGTCTACAATGAAAGAATCGCCATTGATAGATCGCCATTTGCTAGCATGAGCCTTCAATCTTCCTACTGGCGATATTACACATTTAAGTTTTTCTTTTTTAGACCCAAAATGCTCTGCTACTGATACTGAGCATTCACTGTTCAGCTGAGAACAATATCCGTGATTCACAGAAGAAACATTAAGATTTAAACATTTTTTAGGAAATACAACGATTTCATTTTCTGAATCATTTTGGTTCGAATCGCAACTAATTGCCTCATTATTTATTTGTTCCCTGTAATTGTGATTCAATGAATCACTGTCTAGCATATCGCAATGTTTATTAAATAAACAAAATGTACTCATCTTATTATTCAAATTTGTAGTATTTGCTGGACATTCTTTTCTCCAGTGACCCGGCTTTCCACAGTAAAAACATAAGCCTGGTTTCTGTACACCAAATTGCTGCGAAGTGGATTGACTTGTAGCTCGTGCAGGTACACTCCTGGTGTAAGGCTTGGTTCTAAACTTTTTAGACTTCTTATTTTTCTCAGCTTTGAACTTCCTGTCAGCCCTGACTTCAGCTTTATACATTTTCTTTTCATCATCGCTGTCGTCTGCTAGAGGATTTTGTTCATACTCATGAACTACTCTCCACCCCAATTCACTAGCATCCGCCAACTGTATCATCTTTTGTCGGTGTGACAAAATATCCAAGGCTGAAAGAAAAATTTGCCTATTACTAAAAATATTTAACATAATTTCTATAAATAATATAATCTTTATGAGTCAATATAATCAACTCCTGTGATATAATCCTTGTAACTGAAAATCACATTGATATAATACATAATTTTCTTACAAACTTTGAAAATAAAAGAAGCCGTATCTAACAAATACTAATATATTACCGTCATTCGTAGTTTTCCTGTGTTTGCTATACTTTAAAAATATCTCAATCAGTAAACATGCAAAACCCGTGCTACCGCCATTTATAGTATCACTTAATTTATTTATAAATGATACTACTCTAACTTATTCATATCGGCCTGCGCATTACCAACGCAACGGGTTTTAAATCTGTGACATGCGTATGCAAGTTTATAATGTAACTATATCAGTAATACTATAAAACATGAATCCCCTATTTATACATGTTAAAGAAAAGGCGAGTCCACATTAGTCATTGCTAACCATGCAAAAAACATCTATATTGATCACATCAGCTTATAAAATC